ATATTTTAAGGGCTATTTTTACAAAAATTAGAGATTTTAAGGACTATTGATGCCAAATATCAGAGATTATCAATAAATATTTTTCAAGGACTGCTGATGCCAAAAATCAGAGATTTAAGGAATATTTTTAAGGACTATTGATGCCAAACATTTGTGATTAAAAAAAACTTTTTCAAGGACTACTGATACCAAAAATCAGACATATTTGAAGAATATTTTTCAAAGACTTTTTATCAGTCATTTCAAAGAAAAATTTTCAGGACTATTGAAGCCAACAATCTGAGATTTTTAAGAATTAATTTTCAAGAACTATTGGTACCAAAAATCAGAGATTAAAGACAATTTTTCAGGAACTTCTGATGTCAAAAATTATGGGTTTGAACGAATATTTCTCTGGACTACCGACGCCAAAAATCAGGAATTTTTAAGAATATTTTTCTAGGACTATTGATGCCAAATATAAGCAATTTTCAAGGAATATTTTTCAGGACTATTGATGCGAAAAAAAAGGATTTTGATAGGATTTTGATGTTTTTCAAGGGCTATTGAAGTCAAAAATTAGAGATTTTTAAGGACTATTGGTTCCAAAAATCAGTGAGTTTTAAAGAAAAATGTTCACGGGTGCCAAAAATCAGTGATTTTTAAGGACTATTTTTCAAGACCCATTGAAACCAAAACCGTTGATTTTTATCCCTGAGACCACTGTTGGAAAAATAATCTCACGTTACTAAATTTCACATAAAAGGTCCTTTTGTAAAAGTTATTACCAAAGAATTATTTCCTGCTGGTATCCCACTCACTGACTACGAAATAATTATCATTTATCAAAAAAGACGCTCAAAACTGTTTTTTTTTTCTCCGAAACGACAATTTAACCAAAGAAAACGTTGACACACCAAACATTTGGCGACGACTATGACCAGGAATGCCCAGCGTGGTAATGAACATAATCTATCATCAAAAGGAAAGCCATCAACAATGGCCAGGCAGGATAGACCCATCAACATATAAACATTTCTACAAACATATTTAGCGCTTATCAAACTCGAATCTACTCGGTAGGCTTTTTATGACAAAAAAAATCAGGGGCGTAGAAAAAATATTATTACAAGAACTTTTCTCTACCAATTGTTTTCATTTTTAATTTCTAAATCATTTTTTTAAATTTCTTTGAGAATATTGGCAACATTTTCTGTAACCCCCATTACAACACCCTTTTTAGCTACGCCCTTGGAAAAAAATCCCAAACACACAGGGGGTTGTTTGCTAATGACTTCTTTGCCATGGCATGGAAACAGGTGGGCGTTCGGTTAATAAATGTACAACGCTTTCTCACTCTGCTTTGCCACCCCAGCCGAAGAATTTCTGTGTGGGAAATGATGGAAAAAAGGGCCACCCTAGTGGGAGGGGAGGACACTAGCTAATGAATATGATTATTTTTGTTGCTTTTGTTGCCGGTTGCATTCAGTGACTTTAACTATTAACTCAATATAAATCGTCACTTTGTTAAACACCAAGACACACACACACACATTGACTGATTTTGTTTGTGAAAAAGGGTTACTTGGTGCTTGATATATGAACGGGGGTGTTCATGTGTGTTCGTTGCCTTTAATAAATGACTGCTGGTAGGATGTACCAGAAATTGCACAGGAAATTTAATTTTATTCCAAAATCAAGATAAGATTGTTATTTTTTGGAATACAAAAATAGATGTCATTTTTTATAACTGCCTTTGTTGTCCCACAAAAAAAAAAGAAAAGTGTGTTTGCTGATGTTGTTCTGGAAATCAAAGTTTTGGATGGAAAGGGCTATTATTTAACCTCATTAGATACAGAATAAGGCATGAATTCCATACAAATAAGGATAGAATATTTTATTATATGAATGTTAAAGGTCTATGTGGTCACAAGCCCTTTTATGGGCATAGATAAAGAAACTCCTGAAAGTGTTCACAGGGTCGACAAAGAATCTTACAATATCTATGTGTAGAAGACCATCTACAAGACTTCTATAAGTGAAAAGCCTCCTAAACATCTTTGTAAAAATAGAAGGTTCTCTGCGGGATACCCCCTATGGATGTTAGATCTCCAAAATTGCTTCTAGGGAGAAATAGCTTTCGAAAAGTCTTATTAGGACCTACAATGGATGTTCTATGAGCAAACGGCCTTCTTCTTCTAAAGGGGTTCTATAAAGGTAACACTTTCTGGTAGGCTCCTAATAGTACAAGCAGGCTCCTAATGTATGTTACAAGGATATTGACCTCTTTGGTTCGAAGACATTAAAAAGGATTTTATGGATACAAGATCTCACTGATGAAATGCCCAATATTTTTGTCAAGCTTAAATCATGTTCGAATTTGGGTAATATAGGCTCATGAGTTTCCTCTCCGGCAAAATTATAAGAATTATGTATCTCTGTAGGATAGGTCGAAACAAGGACATTATTGGCTCGTTTCTTCTTGTACCTCCCCTACAACGTGTCGAATTCGAAATAAAAAAAAAAACAATTAAGCAAAAGGTATAGTTATGCGGGGCCGAGCATGTGATACCCTACAACACCATAATATATTGGAAAACCTCCTTAGGTCCAATCACTTTTAGTCGATTATTTGAAACAATGCACAAATGTTACCTTTGGTTTTTTACTGACAATATTTTTCATATTTTTCATAACCATTCTTGGGTGGTGCGTGTTGAGTGCGATAGTGCGGAGTCCTGTTGGAATGTCCAAAGTCTGCGGCCAAAATATTTGAAAGGCTTTAATACACCCTCCAGAATATTTTTGCGATATTATTCGGCATTTATTCTGATGCCATGGTCGATTAATAAGAGCAGAGAGCTACCATCGGCTGTTACGGCGGCCCACACCATCACCATGGCCGGCACTTGAGTTCTGGTGGCCAACCGAATGTGCACATTTTCAGCTGACCTCTTTCGCAAGTAAACACGATCACTTTGTTTGATTACAAACTGCTGGACAACGAATGTTTTATCATCCGAGAAAATCAAATTCGGCAGTTCACCACTTTCGGCCAAGCGAAGCAACATTTTAGGTATTTTGAGTCTATTTTCTTTCAGTTGCGGTGTAAGTTGTTGCACTTTTTGGAATTTCAATGGCTTTACCCCGAGCTCATTTTTCAATATTTGCTGAATGGAATATTGCGACATGTTCAACTCACGAGCCATTTTTCGGCCACTCGACGCGGATTTCGATCAAGTCGCTTCTTTACTTTTCAAACCATTTCTGCTGATGTTGCTGTTTTCTTAAGTCCACTTCCGTGACGTCACGTCGGCCTACGCTATCAGTATCTCGGTAACGAGCGATGGTACGAGACACAAAAGATTTAGTCACGTTTAAATGCTGGAGTGCTCTAACGAGAGCCATTTGTGGTTTTCCAGCCAAATAATGCTTCAAAACAGGCTCGAGCTCGACCAATTTCGATCGATAGATTGAAATGCGTTTTTTCTCGAAACTAAATTTTTCCAGATGTGATAATCTTTGAGTAAATGAAGGATATGAGATCCATTTCTATTCCCTCCAAATCTACACAGAGTCTATAATATTCAGTATAAACTCAAACTCAATTTCTTATAGGCCACTGAATTATCCCCACATCAATTCTTATTTGAGTTCTCAGGGAGAGAGTTGTTGGTGACAGCATTCCTCCCAAAATATTCTGGCTTCTTCCTTTCTGTGGAACTTATTTAAGGAGCAGAGTAGTGTCCTTTGGTTTTTCGTTGACACGCTGCCTTCTCGTTTTGCTCATCCTTTATCCCCATAGGAATCGGGGTCATCATTCAGGATCATTGGCTTCTCAAAAACCTTACTTCGGGGTTCCGACGAAATCGATACCGCATACCTTGCTAGTTATGCATCGGATTTGCAAGTCGAACATATCAGTAGGTAATTTACTTGATTGTTTCGATTTTCTTCTCAGAACCTGCAGTTCCTTTTCATAAATTTACTGCACCAATGATTAATAATGACCCCACCGCAATTCTAGTCTATGCTAAGTTGATAGAGAGCAACAACATATTTTCGTACCTCTCTATTCGCAGAAAACTGGGACTTCCTCAAGGATGACGACGTTTCAAGTAATTGCAGAAGCGCTATCCCATCCTATTTGAATTTAATGACTGTTGAGTGAAATGGAATCACCATGCTGGACACATCAGTATTTGACAAGCAAGCAGTCTGCAGGCCCTGACTCCTCCCCAAAAGTTTGGACAGGGATAGGTCAGCTAATTCTTAGATTTGATTTCCTTTGCAATTCTCCTTTAATGTAACTCGAAGATACCTAGTGTACATATATATTGGACAGCCCACAAACCTTATATTTTTTGAGGCGATCATGTATTAACAAATGTGCGTCCGAGTTTTGCCTAACTTTAAACAGGAACAACGCTGATAGGAATATGGTCACATAACTGTTGAGATTGGAATACAAAAGCTTGTAAAACCGAAACCGAAATTTGTAGCCATATTCATTTCCCTCGTCCATATAAAAACATGTGCGCTAACACGCACCACTTTATCTATACGGTGTCCCGGTGTCACGGGTACGAATATATCCCTTAATCTGGGAGTGATCAAAAAATATACCATTGTTAGGAGGTCCCCGCTTGGGTTTGTAGGCAAAAGTTTGTATAACTGGTCATTTGGGCGCCACTGAGGAGGCGAAGGTCCTCAATCTAGTATTTGTATGTATGAAGAACACTAAAGTCAATGAAATCGCTTTTTGAGGTTAGGATCAAAAATGAATGCAGCTTGGTAATCTAGGCACCACTCATTGGCCTCTTCTTTCAAAAAAAGTTTGATACTCAATCGTTTCTTTTAAACATTTGGGCCGCTCACTGGCTGTAATTGCTTACTAAATTGTTTCCTCCAGATACATCTACTGAGATTCCAATTTCTTACAAATTTAATAACTTTTATAGAAGTTCAAACATGTTTCAAAAATACAAAAACAACAGCATATTCCAATTCATTCATTTTTAACATCTCAATGACGAATCAATGTCTCAAATGGCATAATTACGCCCGTGGGTAAAATTACAAAAATTATGCGAGGAGCCTTCTCCGTTTCAAATTGTGTGGGATGGCTACTAGTCGAAGAATTGGTAAAGACTTCATATACTTGCCAGCCATCACCATAATCCTGCAACTTGGTCCACAACCATTTGGGTGGCGAGGATGGTTCTCTGCCCATCAACATCTTCTCTTTTATTTTTCGACATGTCAAGGAACACAGAGAAAAGGAACGTTTTAAACTTTGCATCGATTTCCGGAGACAGCTGTCATCGTCTCGATGTGATTCTTGCAAAATTTTTCTGGGTGTTGATTTTCCGCGATCAATGGGACAAATATTAATTTTCGGATAATTATTTTGATCGCCAGACTCCCAAACATTACTGGATGAATAGAATGATTCCACAGATGTTTGATAGGTTGGACATTTTGGGGAACCTTTGTAGCACACACTTCTCATGGAACACAGACTCCTCCCACTACTGCCACTCGTCGATTCGGTGTGAAAGAATTTTTGCATTTTACGACCACCCAAGAAATATAAAATGCGATCCATAGCAATTGTAATGGTTTCATCAGGAAACGGTCCAAATGTATTTAACGCTGGTATTTTTCGAAGTCTTGTCAAGGGTTTGACTCGATTTACACGGCATTTTGGTACAGGTAATTTAGATTTGCGATTGATGTTATAATTGTTATTGCAAACTCCATCCATTCGGAGGACTATTGAACAATTTTATATTTTTTGCAAATATTAAAACCAAAATAATACATTTATTATTGTTTCCTTTTATTTTACATTTTCTGCGTCAGAGATGGGAGTACAAATAATGAAATGCGGGCTTTGACAGTAAGACCTTCTTTCCAAGGCTTTTCTGCACTTCAAAACTGCCATAGATTTAAGGTGGAAATAAATAAATAACTTTTTTGGTTGGCTTAAGTCATCGGCTGGCTTCTTCGAAAATAAGTAAAAGAGCCTAGGCCCAAAATCGAACTAAGTCAACCTAAAACTTCTTTGTTCCTCTACGAAGAAGCCAGCCGATGGCTTAAGCCAAGTAAAAAAGCGTTTTTTGGATTCTCGCCTTTAAAGTGATAAAACCCCAGGACCTGTCCCACGTTCCGTCAGTATAGACAACTATACCGCATAAAGGTGGATTGTTACGTGTCCAGAAGTTCCTGTCAATTATGTGGATGTCGAATGGTTCGAAGTTCAAACGTGGTGATATGTAGTCACTAGCATTGTCTTCTCCTGTTATACTTCCTATGGATTTAGGATCCCTTGAAGGGACTTTACGGAATCTAGCATCGTTGGTGTTCTCTATAGACTCAGGGAAGAAGACCCATGACTTACGCTTGGCGTTTTAAATCTCACTATTGTACGTGATAAAGGCGGCCTTATAAGCTCTCCAGTCCGTACGTTGTTTGGTCTTGTTGTCCCAATTATACAATAGTCAGCTATCTCTCCTTAAGTTGACTAAATGTTTGGACCACCAGGTCCAGATGCTAACCAGCATCACTTACTTGATATCTCCGCAATGATATATTTTCCCCTGAAATTACTTAGGAAGATTATGTTTAAGTTCTTCTAGCGAAAATACAAGTCCTTATCTTATCAGACGTCCCCCGCACTCCCTAGCCCAATCACCTTATCATTATAAGGTTCCTAGACTAGGGCTACGTCTAATTCAGCTTTCACGAAGGATAGGAGAAGTTCGTCAGCAGCCGCTTTATAGTGATGCAGATTGATCTGCATGATGCTAAGAAGCTGCTGCTTCCTTTGTCCTACTGCAACGGCCCTAAGCGGACCACAATACATCCAGTGGCGAAATGCAGTTTACCCCCATGAGCCTGAAGATAACACTGGCCATTTGTATCAATCAGAGCTTGAACTAACTAGAAGCAAGTTGTCCATCTGGAGGTTGGGTTGGGATTTTCCCAATATTTTCAGTATGCGTACCGGATTCACTGAGGGTGAAGGCATCCATGCTGATAGTATTTTCCGGTAGGGTACTTTCTTCGAGGAAACAGCCGCTAGATCGCTACCTTGTCGGAAGCCAACCACTGTTATGACGAGGAAACAGATGACTTTCACAACCTTGTAAGGGGGATAGATGGTCAGGGCGTACCTCCTTTTAATCCGGTGTGGCTTGCTGCTTGTTGCCCTTTCCAAGCATAAGGCCTGTTAGGGCTAATAGAACTAATTTGGTCACAAGTGGCTTGCTGAACTATGGGGTTGAAATCGCAGTTGGCAGTAAGGAGATTTGATCCGCCGCTAGTTTCTTGGCTTCAGAGTGTATTACCTCAGTGGACCTCCCTCTCTTCAACGCTGAGCATGAAGGGGGTTCTGCTTCCTTCGGAACCGCCGAGGCCAAGGACGTCGCTGGTTCTACCCTCCCAGCCTTGCGCCACCTGCGTAATTTTGCATCTCCAACACCGCGGGGCAGTACTTGCTTTCGCAGCTGGCATGACAAGTGGAACTGCCTCCTATCAGCTCAGTTTCGTCGCTAACCTCCACAGAGTCCTCAACGAAAGGCGACGAGTGAGTTATCCTTCTTATCGAGATCAAGGCGTAAAAGAGTGAGAGGGTCTTGATGAAGGGGGCAACATGAATTCATCTCGAATTTCCGTACTACCTTGAGGCCCATCTTGATCAAGATGCTTTCCCTCTCCGTAATCTGTAAAAGGTCTCGGCCAATAAACTCTTTATTGTATTTTATTAACATCTTATAACTCCTTTTTGCTTTGGGTTCTTTTAGGTCGACGTCTTCTTCGGTAGTAGGGTTGCTGGTGGATTCATCACCAGCTCCTACATCGATAGTGTCTTGCCTTTGTAAGACTATCTCATTGGTGCCGACGAATCTCCCTCATTGGAGTGTAACCTCGGCTGAATTCCAGGGAGAGTTTTCCCTGCGGTTTTCTGGGGCGTCTAAACTCTCTTTGACGAGGAGATGACTGTGACGTCAAGATCCTCATCAGATAGAGGTGTGTCGTTCCCAAAACCAGAGGGAACACTCTCCTGGCTAAGAATCGGTGTTTTGTTTTTTTCAAGTGGGCGAACAACTGTTCACTTTGCTGTCACAAACAACGTCACGGTACATCCCGTCCGAGTTCAAAATTATGTTGTTGTTGTAGCAGCTTATACTGCTGTGTTCGTTCTGACTACTCTCAATCGGGTTCTGCTTCTAAGTTCAGTCTCAAAAAGGAAGCAACCTGTACGGTTTGAGTCCACAACGAAACTGGAGTTAGGTGTATAGTTTTCGCTGGGCAGCGAAAAAGGCCAAAACTACTCGGATTTGTCGCTCTTCAGCTGCGATGGGAGGGGGACTAGTCTCCTAGAACAATATTCACTCTATATCCTTCCATGATTTTTTTAGACCGCGTTAGAGTGAATATTTTTCAGTCCCGCTTGATAGGCCTGTAGATCTAGAGGCTCTCTCTTATACCCCTGTACCTCTCTCTAGATCATAAAGGTCTTTCCTCACGTGTCTGGGCGGAGGTTGCCTATCCACCAGATGAAGAATCGGATGGCTCTGTCGGTAACACCCAAGCAGGTATTCCATTGACAGCATTTTATTACGCCTACGGTAAGACCTTCGCCTCCTCATGTAGTTGTCATACTGGCAGCACTGAATACGTTTCCACTGCGTAGCACTAACGTTGGCGGACCACACCAGAGCCGCATAGTTTACCATAGCCTATCGCGTTGTAAGAGGTCAACAAGGTTTTCTGCTCCCCAAGTGCTGCCGGCCAGAGACTTGAGAATATTGTTCCTACAATCCCACGGCGGCCGGTTCTATGTACTGGATTGACTCAAAGAAACAAACCTTCGACCCAGCAAATACATGTTCGTGTTCAAAATCATGACCTTTGTGTTGCTGTTGTTGCTTCTACCAATTGTGGTTCTTAATAGTTATGATTTTTGTGTTTGTTTGTATTTCTTTAGTGTTCTCCAAATTTTATGTTTGGACGGCGGTGGAGTAGTTGTCCGCCATGGCATAGCCTCCATACCATGGTATTAACTTGCAGTTAAGCCTTAAATAGACTTATAGTTATAGTTATATATTTAGTTCAAGACTCCCACCCTGGAAAAAGCTGAGCTGTTCGCGGCTGCTTATTTAATTCGCAGTTGCCCAACATATATATTGGGCGTCCAATATCATTAAATTCTAAGTCGATTGAACGATATCCATCTGTCGGTTGAAATCGCGATACAGCCCACATTATTTCCGGCTTCAAAATTCGGCAGAACAATTTGTATATATCGCCATATAACGGTACCTCCGGATATTCGATATTTTCTAAAAATTGGTATTTGTAGGTCATAATGGGTTCAAGCTCCGGTGATGAGACATTGTATATGGAGATCCACGTTTTGTATATCTCCCATATAAAGGTACCTCCCAATATAGGTATTTTGATGATTTTTGCCACATTTTTCTACGGATTTGTCCAAAAATTGGTATTTATAGGTCATAGTGGGTTCTAGCTCTGATGGCGGAACATTGTATATATAGGTCCACGTTTTCCTACAGCACATGTATAACGATACCCAACGATATTCAGTATTTTGATAATCCTAGTCCATTTATCCACGAAATTGTTCCAAAATAGAGATTCCGCGTTGATTTTAGTTTTCTTTTTCTTTACTTAGATTAACATTAGAAGATTTTCTTTAAATTAGTGGACCTTCAAAGATCTCAAATGGGTGGACGAAAATAACTTTGACGTCTTGTCGAAAACCTCCCATCGATCTTATAAAGCACTCCCAGTCTTCCTTGATTTTAATCCTTTTTATTTCATTATTTTTTCTTATTATCAACCTTCAAACATATTTCCTTAATTTCCCCCTTTTGTCTAATAAAATCTCCGATTGTTTGTCATCTGTCAATAGATTTTAGCTGTAATTACAGAAGAAGAAAAAAGTCCCAACGCGGAAAAAAGAGTGATTAACTTCTCTTTATCTCTTCTTCTTAATGTCCACTTTTTTGGGGGAGAATTTTCCACTTTTTTCCGCAGTGCATTTAAAGGCAATTACTCGTTAGTTTTCACACCTTTTAACCTCCCCACCCTGAGTGGTGACATAAACCGCCCTTAATATTATTCCCTCATCTCATTTCACCCTCCCCTCGCTTGATCTCTTGTTTGTTTGCGTTTCTTCAAAAGATGAGATAAATGAAATCTCCTCATTTTTTCCTGATGATTTCCGGTGTTAAGCATCTTAACCTTTTGCTTCTTCATTCGTTTGTTTGCCTCGGTGGACATTTTCAAACAATGGCCCAGGCAAAGGCTATGGAGGCTAGTTTTTTTTTTTTTTTGGGATTTTCTCCCATTTTGTCTGTGCATTGTTGTCTCCATTTTCTTAATAGAATTTTTATCTATTGGCTGTAAATCTCACATGAAAACAGAATCACAATAAAATAATAGCAACGAGAGAAATAAAAACAAAACAGAAGGAGAAGTTTAATGCCGATAATCTATTAAACATCCGATAATAATGGAGGTCTATAGAGGGGTGGTGGGGTTGCTATGGTGCTATTTTTTCCAAAGAAAACAAAAGTTGAAGGTCGGAGTTTTGTAAATACTCGCTATCGACAGAAAATCTTCAAAGGGTCTTTTTTACAGGGTGAGATGAAAAAACGGCAACCAAGTTCAGACTGCTGTCATTTCCAAACCACTCGTCCGACAGCTGTTAAAATTATTCCAGTGATAGCTCATTATATTGCTTACAAGCGTACAAAAGCATTTTGGTGAGAATTTTCCAGAAAAAAAGTTATTCGTGATGGAATTCAAGCGTGATAGATCGGGTGGATTCTTTATATTTGCTTGGAAAACCATAAGTGGCTATTGTTAAAGCACTCCAGCATTTAAATGTGAATAAATCTTTTGTGTCTCGTACCATCGCCCGTTTCCGTGATACTGGTAGCGTAGCCCGACGTTAATGAAGTGGACGGAAGAAAACAGCAACATCAGCAGAAATGGTTCGAAAAGTAAAGAAGTGACTTGATCGAAATCCGCCTCGCAGTGCCCGAAAAATGGCCTGTGAGCTGAACATTTTGCAATATTCCATTCGGCAAATATTGAAAAATGAGCTCGGGGTAAAGCCATTGAAATTCCAAAACGTGCAAGAACTTACACCGCACCAGAAACAAAATAGACTCAAAAGAGCTGAAGAGTTGCTTCGCTTGGTCGAAAGTGCTGAACTGTCGAATTTGGCTTTCTCCGATGAGAAAACATTCGTTGTCCAGCAGTTTGTTTATTTGCTAAAGAGGTCAGCTGAAAATGTGCACCTTCGGTTGGCCACCAGAACTCAAGCTCCGTCCATGGTGATGGTGTGGACCGCCATAACAGCCGATGGTCGCTCTCCGCTCGTATTAATCGACCGCGGCATCAGAATAAATGCCGATTATTATCGCGAAAATATTCAGGAGGGTGTATTAAAGCCTTGGGCACGAAAACATTTTGGGCGCAGACCAACAGCACTCAGCTCGCGCCACCAAAGAATGGCTACAAAATGAGGTTCCTCGTTTCAAAATCAAAATCTCCGGATACCAATCCGTTGGACTATTGTGTCTGGAATATTTTGGAAAGCAAGGTTGTCACTAAAAAATACCAAGCAAGCGCTTCGCCGGGAATGGGCCAAAATACCGCAGAGCAACATTCGGGCAGCGTGTGACGGTTTCATTGGCCGTTTGAAGGCCAAAATTCGTGCCAAAGGTGACCAATTCGAACAAATCTAAACTTATTCTAACATTTGATGATATTTCCGACATTTGTGCATTCCTTCAATAAAATTAAAAAAAAAAGATCTCCACTGCCATAGGCAAAGGGAAGACTTCTAAGGATGTAGATATATTTTATATATATTATGTTTTTCTACTTTGAAACGCCTTCCAAAGGCCGTCAAGGGCCTTTTGGACGTTCCTGAATCTCCTCTTTTTAAAACAATCACTTTTCATCCATTAAATCAATATTTTATTGCTTAATTTGTCCGCTTTCGAATTTATTACTTTAAAAGTTTCAACAACAACTTCATTCCAGAAAAAAAAAATAAACATTGCAGGAAAAATAAATGATTCACGTTTCGGTCTTTTGATGACATATTGACACAATGGAGCATGACGACATGTGAAATGAAAAGTTACTTTTTGCGGTGATTTAAAAGGCTAGGGGAGTAAAAAATAAATTCAGTTTTTTTTATTCCCAACATGGTTGGGGGTTGTTCATGCCCTTTTAAAAAAACGTAACAATCGAAACATATCATGAACTCCGATTCCTGTTAATCTTCCTAATGTAGCTGAGATATGGATATCAATGATATTTGAGATAAATTGTATGTCAATTAAATTCCCTTTGTTTGTGCTGTTAAATTATTCTAACAGCACTGTTAAAAAATTTTGATCAGGATATGTGTTTTTGTGGGACAAAATTCAATTTTTTTTCAATAATTACGGAGGAAATCCTGCAGATTATAAAAGTAGGACTAAAACAAGTAAAATAGCATCTAACTTCGGCCGGGCCAAACTTTTAATACCCTCCACCATTTTGAAGGAACATGAAAATAGAACAGTGTTTGGCTTGCTTGTTTGGGATACCATAGTATGAAAATTTAAAAAAAATATCCGTAGAAAAATACCTCTCAAATGAAACCCCTTTGAGGCTATACGTAGACGTGAACCTACACAGACAATTTTCAGTTATAGGCTACAATCTTTTAATACGAAAAATCATCAAAATACCGAATATCGGCAAGTACCGTAATATGGGGGGCCATACGGTGACTTGAACCTGCATAGGCAATTTTCAGTCATAGGCTGCAGAACCCATTACGATCTTTAAATTTCGAAATTTGAAACAATTCCGGTGAATAATGCCGTTAAAATCATTAAAATACCGAATGTAGGGAGGTATCGTTATATGGGGGCCATACGTAGACATGATCCTGCATGGGTAATTTTCAGTGATAGGCTGTAGTACCGATTTCGAACTTCAAATACGAAATTTGAAACAATTCCGGTTAAGTAATGCCGCAAAAATTATCAAAATACCGAATATAGGGGGATATTGTTATATTGGGTTCATACGAATACGTTATATATTCTACAAAATTTTTTGTCTCACAATTTTTCCATAGATCCCAGGAGATGCCAAAAGTCTAAAGGGTATACATATATGTATACATATATATTAAAAACACATTTTAGGATTAAAGACGTACTTTGTGCGAGTTTATGCAAAAATCTCCAACAAAGCATCATTTTAAAAGCATTACGTCAAAGAAAAAATATTCTTCATCACATTTTGCTATAAGTCACCAAATAATAGAAACCTCTGTTTACCTCTATATTTTAACAAACAACCATGTGATACCCTACAACAGTACAATATTTTAGAAGCTCCCGTATGTCCAAATCCATTTTGGAAGATTTCGCTTTTGAAATGATGTCACGGAACACTGCCCAGATTTTACCTGTAGCATTTTGACCAGTGACATTTGCCCAATATTTACGCACTCCGTCGTGCTCTTAGTTGTTGTGGACCATTTTATAGCTAAATATAATCCACTGGTCATCCAAAATGCTAGAACTATTCCCTGTCTCTGACTCTCTTCTCATACCAAATTCCATTTCGATTGGTTTCAATTGTGTGATCAGGAATATTTTTCATAATTTGGATAATTTGAACCTCTAAAAATTTTTCGATCATCTCCAAAAGCAAGAGGCCCCTCTATATCTCTAAATTTAGACTCATCTATATGATTTGCTTGTCTACGATATTTGGCTATATTCGTCAACGAAATCAGCATTTGTCTATTTCGGATATCATCTGTAAGTAATGTTTGGTATTTTTTCACACAAAAGTAGTGGTCCATCTACCCGCTGTCCTAATATCTAACTTCATGCGAGATTTCGTGTCCTTTGGTTTCTATTTGTGTCCTTTATAACGGCTGCAAAATCAGGAACATGTTTAGTTGTTGGTCCATTTCAACCCCTAAATATATTGCGGACATCTTTAAAAACAATAGGTCTAGCCCTTCTGAGCCTAAACCTATCCTTGTGAAAATTTTCGTGAGGATCGGACGATAACTGAAAAAAATTGAAAAAATATAACAAAATATATACTTCAACATTATAAGTCAAATAAAAAAATCGCATAAGATAAGAAATATGAAAAAAATAAAAAAAATATCACAAAATACTGCAGAATATGTATTAACGCATTATTGGGACTTTTTATGCGATATTTTTAGATTTTATCGTTTTATGACAAGGGGGCATTGTAAACTAACAAAATTCGTCGAAATCATCAGCCATTCTTGAGATGTGAGCATTCTAGCTAACATTCCTTCCTTTGTATATACACATTGTATATATTTCGCTATATATATATATATATATATATATATATATATATATATATATATATATATATATATATATATATATATATATATATATATATATATATATATATATATATATATATATATATATATATATATATATATATATATATATATATATCTGGAATCTGGAAAATTTCAGTTTTTGGTCAATTTCAACCCATAAATATTATGTAAACATTTCCAAAAGCTATATTTTTCTATTCTGGCTATATCCCCACCTACATTCTAAATTTCATGAAGATCGGGCCATAATTGCGACCTGTAGAGTGACGTACATACATAGCGAGATCGACTCAGCTAGGCGAGAAAGGAAGGTCCATATATACTTTCCTATATGGGAAACCAATATTTCGAGGTTTTACATAATTGTTGGCCTAATCAAACTTATAGTACCCCCAACAAATAGTGTTGTAGGGTATAAAATGTGGGTTACTTTGCTCTGTAAACTTTCAAAACGCCGAAACATTTGTCTTCGAATTTTAGCTTTACTTTCAAAATCTGTTGGATTTTCCCCTTAATTATTTTTTGTGTTGTACGGTGTAATTATTGACGCACTTCGAAAATTTACAACAAATTCTACTACAAAATCATTGACGTTTTATTTATAAAAAAAAATACCACAACATCATAGACCACCAAATGTTGGTCATGTAATCTTATCACTAAGCAAACATAAATAAATATCCAAAAAACATGGGCATGGCGTAGTACATGGGGACTTACACTACATAAACACATAGTCTGTTATGAATCACAATAGGTACAATAGTTGTTGTTGTTTTTTGTTGCTATTTATAGTAATTACTCTACTTATGCTATTCTTATTTTAAAACGATACATTAAACTAACAACAAGACTGGTCAGAAACATATAACCCATTAGGATGACCACACTTTCGGTGTTACTTCTTTCGTCCGTATTGAGAAAGATATTCACAGCACCCGTCAAAACATTGCCCAACAAAAAATACACCAAGCCATTATAATTTATGGCTTCTACTAGGGTGGGAATTTTTGAAATGGTCGCAGCACTCGCTGCATTTCCAAGTAAACCCTTTTCCGATGGATTTGTAAGCTCCAAAATGTGATCCTCCTTATTAACCGGCAATATGGTATCTAATACTATATCGAATACAAATAAATATAAGGCACACATGGTCACAGCTATGGCCAACATCCATGTCACGTAGCCAAAATTACAGGAGACCCGAGCAATGCCAATCACCATAACGCTGCTTATCACAACAAGCCATAGAACTGCACCGCAACATGAGAGATGAATTAATTTTTGTTTAATTTCTTCAAAGCTCCAGACATCCTTCGATTTGATCCATTGTCCAATGTACTGCGATAGCAAATAGAGGGCAATAAAACCAGGCAATGAACAGATACCCTCACGATTGGCAGTTAGCAGATCGGTTCGTTCCAAGGGATCCAATACAAATGAGGCTATGCCACACTGCAGCGTGACTTCGTGTATTATCAATATAACTGGAAAGAGAAGGAAAACATGTGGAGAATTAAAATATATCTTTGGAAGGGGAGAAGAGGATAATAGGGAAATTTTCTATAGATAAATTCTGAACAAAAAATCATAAATTTGCAAAATAACAATAAACGAGAATATAAATAACGATGATATATAAACGATCAAGTTTCCCCTCCTCCACACTTTTGGAAATCTTCGGATTTAATTGTGTCTTAATAGTGTATTCGGCAATATTGCATAAAAAATACGAGGAATATTTTAATCGAAAAGTGTAGTCAGTTTTGTTTTTTGCAATTTTTAAAAATATGGTAAAAATACTTTTAAACGAGATTATGGCAAGTCGAAATATGCTATAAAGTTATTTGTCATAAAAATCTACTATAGGTCCTAGAAGACGCCAAAAGTATAAATCTTACCAAAACGAAAGGAATATTAGAAACGCACTTTAGGCTTAAAGTCGTACTTTATGTGAGGTGATGTAAAAGTCTCCTATAAAGCGTCATTTTGGTATGATAACGTCAAAGACAAGAATACTCTTTATCAATTTTTACTATGGGTCACCGAAGAAAAGAAATATCTATTTCCACTGTATATCAAAAAACAAGTAAAAAAACATTAAGTTCGGCCGGGCCAAACTTTTAATACCCTCCACCTTAGGGTAAAAGAAACATTAGGAGAAATGTGGCAAAAACCATTAAAATGCCGATTATGGGGAGGTACCGTTATATGGGGGCTATACCAAAACGTGGACCTATAATTACAATGTTTCGCCACCGGGGCTGGAACCCATTATGACCCACAAATACCAATTTTTAGACAAATCAGTGAAAAAATGTGGCAAAAACCATCAAAATACCGAATATCGGGAGGTACCGTTATATGGGGGCTATATCAAATCATGGACCCATGCATGCAATGTTTCGCCACCGAAGCTGGAACCAATTATGATCAACAAATACCAATTTTCGAACAAATCCCTGAAAAAATGTGGCAAAAATCATCAAATTACCGAATATCGGGAGGTACCATTATATGGGGGCTATACCAAAACGTGGACCTATAATTACAATGTTTCGCCACCGGAGCTGGAACCCATTATGACCAACAAATACCGATTTTCAGACAAATCCGTGAAAAAATGTGGTAAAAAAACTAAAATACTAAATATCGGGAGGTACCTTTATATGGGGGCTATACCACAACGTGGACCTATACATGCAATGTTTTGCCACACGCTCAGGGACCCGCTATGACCTACAAATACCAATTTTAAGACAAATCCGTGAAAAAATGTGGCATAAATCATCAAAATACCGAATATCGGGAGGTACGGTTATATGGGGACTATACCAGAACGTGGACCGATAAATCTCATTTTCAATACCAACCATCCTAGACACAATGCAAATAGCTCTGCTAAATTTTGGAGCTCTACGTCAAATAATGTGGGATGTATCGTGATTTCAACAGACAGACAGACAGACGGACATCGTTAAATCGACTTAGAATTTTATGCTGATTATGAATATATATACTTTATGGGGTCTAAAACGAATATTTAGGGATGTTACAAACGGAATGACAAAGTTAATATACCCTCCTTTCCAAGGTGGAGGGTATAAAAACATTTGCATCAATGTTCCCAAAAAACCTGCAAATATTTTTCTATTTTTTCGATTAATGTTTCTTCGGGCTTTTTTCGAGTTGGCGCCTGAAAGAAACATAAAATTTTGTTTTAGCCGGAAGTTGTAAAAAGAACAAATATTCTACACAACATTTCACTATAAATCTCAGAATAACCTATACAGGGTGAGATGAAAAAACTGCAACCAAATTCAGAGTGCTGTCATTTCTAAGCCATTCGTCCGACAGCTGTTAAAATGTATTCCAGTGACAGCTCATTAAATTGTTTACAAGCGTACAAAAACATTTTGGTGAGAATTTTTAAAAAACCTTAATCGTGATGGAATTCAAGCGTGATAGTGTGATTTCTTTATATTTGGTTGGAAAACAACAAGTGGCTATCGTTAGAGCACTCCAGCATTTAAATGTGAATAAATCTGTTGTGTCTCGTATCATCGCTCGTTACCGTGATTCTGGTAGCGTAGTGCGACGTCAAGGAAGTGGACGGAAGAAAACAGCAACATCAGCAGAAATGGTTCGAAAAGTAAAGAAGCGACTTGATTGAAACCCGCGTCACAGTGGCAGAAAAATGGCTCGTGAGCTGAACATATTGCAATATTCCATTCGGGAAATATTAAAAAATGAGCTTAGGGTAAAGCTATTGAAATTCCAAAAAGTACAAGAACTTACACCGCAAAAAAAAGAAAATAGACTCAAAAGAGGTAAGGAGTTGATTCGCTTAGCCGAAAGTGGTGAACTGCGATTAGAAAACATTCGTTGTCCAGCAGTTTGAAAACAAACAAAATGATCGTGTTTACTTGCCAAAGAGGTCAGCTGAAAATGTGCACCTTCGGTTGGCCACCAGAACTCAAGCGTCGGCCATGGTGATGGTGTTGGCCGCCATAACAGCCGATGGTCGCTCTCCGTTCGTATTAATCGACCGTGGTATAAGAATAAATGCCGAATATTCTGGAGGGTGTATTAAAACCTTGGGCACGCAAACATTTTGGCCGCAGACCTTGGACATTCCAACAGGACTCAGCACGCGCCACCCAAGAATGGTTACAAAATGAGGTTCCTCGCTTCCTTTCCGGCGCACAATGGCCACCAAAATCTCCGGATACCAATCCGTTGGACTGTTGTGTCTGGAGTATTTTGGAAAGCAAGGTTGGCACTAAAAAATACCAAAGTGTCGATCACCTCAAGCCAGCGCTTCGCCGGGAATGGACCAAAATATCGCAGAGCAACATTCGGGCAGCGTGTGACGGTTTCATTAGCCATTTGAAGGCCATAATTCGTGCCAAAGGTGACCAATTCGAACAAATTTAAACTTATTCTAAAATTTGATGCTATTTCCGAAAAAGTTTGCTTTCGTTCAATAAATTAAAAAAAAATGTAAAAATTATGGCTTTTGACTTTGTTGCAGTTTTTTTATCTCACCCTGTATATCTCTGTAGTCATGTGGCAGAGATTGTAAAATATTAATATTCGAATAAGATCAACTTTTATTCTATCCAGGCGTTCAGCTCAAATCAGCTAATTTATTGAAGAAGATACACTGAACGCCAAGAAGATTGAATGATTTTTTTTAAGATAAACTTCTCTATTCAGCTACTGTTCACTAATAACATCATCAAATTTTTCCACGAGTTTTAAGTGATTTTCTCCTGATCTTTTCTAAGAAAATCAACTGACTGTAGGTTAATTAATCATAACTCAAAAGTTAAATTGAAATTTTTCAATAAACCAATTCATCTCCTATAAGATCCAAGAAAATCTACTAAATTCTTTGGAGGTCAAAACCTTTATGGTAGAACAAGATCTAACAATATTTATGACGATCGATAGATTTCCCATAAAAATATTGACTAATTTTTTCAAAGAATATCGACCACAATGGCTGCTATTTTATTAGTGGACCGCCTTATCTTCATTAAGCAGATCTATTTTTTATAAGAAAAATTGATAAAACTTCTAAGAAAAAAATGTTTGTTAGTCCGGATAAAATCGATACTAATACAAGTCCCTGATCACTCACCCAATCCAAGTGGCAGCAAGTGCTTATGAGATCTTGCCAAAAATCCAAACAGTGTACCAAACAACTTCGTGAAACCCAACGTGAAGAAAGCATTCAAATGTTTGCCATATTCATGTTCATCCTGGCCATAACCAATCATGGCAATTACAATTGTTCGACCCATACCCAATATCAGCATGCACGTCACAGTTATTAGCATTTTACGTAAATCTGTAAAACGTTTGGGTCTCGACGAAACCAGGGCCATTGCAAAAACAAACAGACCAATACCAACATCCATAAGTCCCGCACCATATGTTCGATGTTTGCGAAAGACTAGAGGGAAACTTGTAAAATCCACAGCCAATATACACAGCACTGTTAGCAGATAAACATTTGTTCGGAGTAGAGTGAAAAGTGCCGGCCGCTGGCCAAATTCAAATTCTCTTCGCGATGCTTTTTGTAAACATTTTGTGCGCCAAATAGTCACGGCCAGCGCAAGTATTGCTCCCAACAATATGTATGCCACATATTTATGCAGAAGATTTACACTTAAAACAGTTGGTACTGAGATCACTAGAAATTCCAAAATATACACACTACACCACGACCGCGAACAACACCAACAACATCGCTGACGTGCAACGCGAGCCAATGCTATGGCTATTAGGGCCACCAATATGGTACACTGAATGGGCCACAAGCGTTCTAAAGTATTTTGCGAATAAATCTCGAATTTCGACATTTGAATAATTAAATTTTTTAGATGCGCCACAAATTCAACGTTCATAACATCACCACGGCGACGCGTATTTGACCAGTCGAATGCGAGACGAAACCGCCTCTTTCCCAGGTGATGGTGTTAAACTGAACTATTCTTCACTGCTAGTGTGTTGCGTTTGCTGGTTGTGTCTCCTTCTTCCGCAAGGGATCGATTTATGACAATTGTTGATAAGATTGCCGGGGATATCGCTAAAACAAACACCATTTCCAATTGAAATTGGATTAAGGTGAATTTGTTATTTGTAATAATAAATTATTTGGGGAAATAGGTTAGTACATGTCAGAAAAATGACAATTTGTTTATACAAAGGGTGTGTTGTGGGATGAGTGGATTTATGAGGCATTTCTTTAAAAATTTTAGTGTCGAAAATAGAGTTTCCCATATAAAAATACTGAATGTAGTTCACCAGAACTCAGAAGAGATGAAACCGATAGATATCGCAGTTCGACAGGGTGAGATAAAAAACTGCAACAAAATGAAATGCCATAATTTTTACATTTTTTTTTTAATTTTATTGAATAAATGCAAAAACGACGGAAAGAACATCAAATTTTAAAATAAGTTTAGATTTGTTCGAATTGGTCACTTTTGGCACGAATTATTGCCTTCAAACGGCCAATGAAACCGTCACACGCTGCCCAAATATTGCTCTAAAGTATTTTGGTCCATTCCCCGTTTGACTTGCTTGAGGTGATCGACAATTTGGTATTTTTTTAGTGCCAACCTTGCTTTCCAAAATACTCCAGACACAATAGCCCAACGGATTGGTATCCGGAGATTTTGGTGGCCAATGTGCGCTGGAAATGAAGCGAAGAACCTCATTTTGTAACAAATGAGTACTGAGCGCGATGGTGCTGAGTCCTGTTGGAATGTCCAAAGGTCTACGGCCAAAAAGTTTGCGTGTCCAAGGCTTTAATACACCCTCCAGAATATTTTCGCGACAATATTCGACATTTATTCTGATGCCACGGTCGATTAATACGAGCGGAGAGCGACCATCGGCTGTTTTGGCGGCCCACACCATCACCATTGCCGGCGCTCGGCGCTTGTGTTTTGGTGGCCAACCGAAGGTGCACATTTTCAGCTGACCTCTTTGGCAAGTAAACACGATCGTTTTGTTTGTTTACAAACTGCTGGACAACGAATGTTTCCTCATCTGAGAAAACAAAATTCGGCAGTTCACCACTTTCGGTCAAGTGAAGCAACTTTTTAGCTCTTTTGAGTCTATTTTCTTTCTTTTGCGGTGTAAGTTCTTGCACTTTTTGTAATTTCATTGGCTTTACCCCGAGCTCATTTTTCAATATTTGCCGAATGGAATATTGCGATATGTTCAGCTCACGAGCCATTTTTCGGCTACTGCGGCTCGGGTTTCGATCATGTCGCTTCTTTACCTTTCGAACCATTTCTGCTGATGTTGCTGTTTTCTTTCGTCCACTTCTTTGACGTCGGGGTACGCTTCCAGTATCACGGCAACGAGCGGTGGTACGAGACACAAAAGATTTATTTACATTTAAATGCTGGAGTGGTCTAACGATAGCCACTTGTGGTTTTCCAGCCAAATATAAAGAAATCACACTATCACGCATGAATTCCACCACGAATAACTTTTTTTCTGGAAAATTCTCGCCAAAATGCTTTTGTACGGTTGTAAACAATATAATGAGCTGTCACTGGAATAATTTTAACGGCTGTCGGACGAGTGGCATAGAAATGACAGCAGTCTGAAGTTGTTTGCAGTTTTTTCATCTCATCCTGTATAGATATAGGTTTCCGTAAAATACTCCTGATATTCAGAATGTTGATGATTTTCGCCACATTTCAGTGCATCAGTGCTAGGTTAGATGCGAAAATGGACAATATCGGTCCACTTCATCAAGTACCTCCCCCACAAAGTGTCGAAACTTTGAATAATTATAACTCGTATAAAATGTGATGTAAGTGTCCGATTGTCTTCAAATTGCACACATCACTATATTTTTATTAAGTCAGGGTCTGGTCTTGGATATATAGGTCCACTCCTGCTAGTACCTCCCCCACAAAGGTTCAACATTTTGAGTGCCCATGAAACTCATAAAACGCGAAATTAACATCCGATTCCATTCAGGCTTGGTACATCTCAATATTTCCATCAAAACCAGATCTGTTAAAAAAATCGTACAGATCGGGCTGTTTCTACTGGTACCTCACCCACGTAGAGTTCAAAATTTTTGAAAAACAAAATGATAAAATATAGCGCAATATGCATTCAACTCTCTTCAAACGCAAGACCTGATGTGAAGATGGTATATATCTGCCAACCGCTTCTGGTACCTCACCCACAAAGGGTTACATTGTTCAATACTTATATCTGTCATAACTGGTGAAACAAGTCGATGATTCTTTCCAACTTGCTATATCTAAATATTTCTCCTAACCAGAAATCTGATATGAATATGTTTTTTATGCAAATTTATGATATCGCATAAAATTGGACATAAATCTACGATTTCCTTCAAATTTTGCATCTGCCAATATTTTTTCTGTATTAGATGCGGTATGAAAATGGAATAATTCGGTCCGCTATATCTGTTACCTCATGCATATTTCCGCATTTTCCTAAAATTTGCGCTTATAGGAAGTAGTCGATCCAGTCAAAATCTGGTACGTTGTACTTCTTATATCAGTCTTAGGTCAGATACGAATAGGCCAACTGCTTCCGAATCTCCCCCATAAAATAATCATAACTCAAGACTGGGGGTATACCACTGTCGGCAAAACCGACTGATACTATTTTGCTGTTTTTTTTAATTTAGTATATAAAGTTCGTAATTGTTACCATTTCCCTTGAAAAATACTAGCGCAAAATACTCATAAAATGGTTCCTCCCGATATTCGTAATTTTCATAACTTTTGCCAAATCTTTTCAGTGGAAATTTTGTATTTTTAGTTCTTAATAAAAGAAATAACATATACCGCTTTAGTTGTTCTCAAACAAGCCTATTTTCATATAGTTTTGGGACATGAAAACTTGAACAATTGAAAATAAAATTAAATGGAAACAGTGTATTTTCTTGTTCCTTTGTTCCAATTTTGCTGTAGCACAAACATGCCATTAGATAGTAGTTGACCAATCAATATTTTAACAAATACTTCCATCAGACCTAGTTAACTTTTCTAGAGGCAAATGGTCATAAATTATTGTATCAAAAGAAAATAAAGTGATATTGAAACTTGTCAATTGAAATTTCCAAAATGCAACATGATAAAAACTCTTGCGTTATAGACGACAAAAAGTATCTAAGAAAATACTGACGCTTTTTAATGTAAGACTTTTAATCTATATTTTTTATGACGAAACAATACTCCTTTGCTAAAAAAAAGTACAAAGTACGTCACTTGTTCCTCTTTTATGCACAGTGTTCTGGAGAATTGTGTTTGCGTTTTATGTAGGCGTTTCCGTCCAACATTCCCCAATAGCAGACGTATTATAATTTATTATAGAAAACAAACCAAAAAAAATATTTCAACAAAACGCTTGTCATGTTATCTGGGGCTTATCAAAATACAAATACAATTTCGAAAATGAATATGAACGATATTGGAAACCTCGCATAATCAATTGATTATGTTATCAATATCTTTTCAAATTATAGCAAAAAACAACTGTGGTAATCGGAAACTAAAATAAAGCACTTATATTTATTAGATTCTCTAGCATTTCAAACTTACCAATACCCAATGGTAACAGATGTCTATCTTTTCCGGCCACATGGCCGAGTAAGGTTGCAAAAAGTTTTGTTAGACCCAATGTAAAGAAGGCATTCAAATGTTTGCCATATTCATGTTCATCTTGATGGTAATCAATACTGGTGATAACAATGGTTCGCGCCATACCCAATATCAACATGCAGGCGACAGTGAAGCACATTTTTCGTATATCGGCAAAACGTTTTGAGCGTGGCGATACCAGGGCCATGGAAAATACAAATAGACCAATACCAACATCCATGAGGCCGGCCCCATAACGTCTGGTCTTACGAAATTTCTTTGGAAAACTTTCAAAATCAATGGCAAGAATACACAGCACTGTCAACAGGCTTATGGTGGAGCGCAGCAGGGTAAAGATTACAGGTCGTCGACCAAATTCATATATTCTATCCTTGGCTCGTTGCGTACACCTCGAGCGCCATACAACTGCCAACACCACGATCACAGCAATTACCAAGATATGTTCAACATATCTATTGAATACATTTACACTTACAACAGCAGGCATTGAGATCACCAGAAATTCTAATACATACACTTTGCACCATGACACCATCCCCGTGCCGCCACTGTTTCGATCATTTCCCTCCTCCTTTCGGTGGCGCCCTAATGTATGACGTACCACCACACGAGCCAATGCTATGGCCATTAACGTCACAACAATGGTACATTGTATGTGCCATATTCGTATTAGCGTTTCTTCCGAATGTTTTTCGTATATATCCATGCGATGGGATGTATCGTTCTGCTCAGCTGTAGGCTTTGCCCAACAAACTGGCCAGCGATCTTGAAAACGCCGACATGCCAATAATTGTTTGACCAATGATAGACACTCGAAATTATTGGTTGCCTCAGCGTTACAATAGTACTCATCGTTGCCGGGTTGCCAGTTGTTGTATTTATCACCATAGTTGTTGTCTAATGCCATGATAAGATTACCCCACCACTTCAGAGTAGGAGTAGCAGCACACTCAAGTGTTTTCCGGTGAATGTAATTATTTATTTGCAATGAGTAGACATTTGTTTTTATTTGAAGTCTGTAATAGCCATACACGCAATCGTTGATAATTGCAATTGTTTGAAGAAATTAAGTCCTCCAAATGATTTGTAAATTGCGATATTCGCGTTCCAACACCACCCTTGAGGTTGAATCAGATTGCAAAGCTACCCTCGGACACCGGCCGCCGATAAGTAAGAAACAAATACTAAAGCGTAATTGCGTGATAAACGTAAAAAATCAAAACAAAAACAAAGATTGTATATAGGGATCCTAAGCACAACATTTTGTCTAGGAAGTGCCAATCAAAACAAAACTACCGAATGTTTGTAGGCTTCCAGAGATTGAAAACGAGAAAGTTTTCTGCTGTTTAGCTGTGTTCAGTTGACACTTTATAACGGCTGAATTGAAAGTGCTGCCAAGTTAATGATGTATTTACGAGAGACAACGATGTACTCTAATAAAACAGAATCCCACTACTGATTGTTGTACTAAAACTATTTTTAAAAAATGCACATATTAGTATTAAAAAGAAAAATCATGCCTAATGGTCCTTGACAGAATTTTTTTTAAAACACCTATGTTTATTGGCTTAATAGCTAAAGGGTTACTCTTCGAGTGCGGCTCTGGCATCCCTTTATGATGTGTCACAAAATATGCCATGCGAAGACTTCAAGCTGCTAATGTACCCACAAATTAATAGTCTTTCAAAAATATTAAAAAAAAACACAAAAGCTAAAC